ATATTAATTTCAAGTTAAGTCTTAAATTAAATCTTATGGAATACAAGTTTAAATGCAAGAATTATTTCAATTCGTATGAATAACTTATTCAGAATTTATGTAAAACTGCAGTGCTTTACGTCGCTAGTGCATTCTCATTACAATGGAGGAATTTAACCCTTGATTTTGACTTTTCTATATTTTTGCCGTTGGGTGAGCAGTGTGATTGCATCCTAATTGACCGCAAATGGTCTTAGGGCATAAAATTTAATTATCTTTGTAAATATTCTATGTAATTGTATGCCAGTATTGAAAGAAACAATCAATCTGGTAAAAAATGGTTGCGACTTGTTTTGAAAAAGGTAAACCAGCGAAAGGTGGTGGTATTGTAAAAGGTTACCAGCAAAGATATTCCATTTGGCATCAGTTGTACCATTATTTGCGACTTTATTGTTTGCGCCTTCAAAACGGAAAAGTACCATAAGTTTTATGTGTGCAAATCAATAAGGATTCTAGTTCCCATTTTCAGTAACATTAATAGTTTGGAAGAAAATGGGACAGGAAAAAATGAAATACAGCTGAATGTGGATTTAGAACTGAAAATGCATCATTGCTTACAATTTATTCTTTTTTTTACATTACTTTTTAGGTTTCAAATTTGAGATTTTTAGCATCCTTATTTGAGTGCACCATCATTCATTTCTTCCTTGTTCTTCCATATACTTTCAATTCTTCTTACTGTGCTCAAAGAAATCTGATACTATGCGTAATGAATGTAAATCTTGGAATGACTGTTCATTGTGTGAAGTATCATTAAACATTATCTTTGTGGATTCTATATTACATTTATATATTTATTTTATAGGCACAGTATAAATTTGATGGTATTTTTTGATTATCTGTATCCCCCCTCTCCGAAAGTTGGTGACTAATTTTTCACTTTGCTAATATCTGAAAGTCAACAGCCATTTTAAAAATTGTGGCAGAATAAGAATTCCAGAAAAGAGCAGTCAATCAATAGAAATAAAATAAGCAAGAGACATACATAATAAAAAAACACTTTTCTGAAAAAATCATTATACTGTTGGGCAAAATGGGATATTTCTAAGGTAATGCAATGCTTTCTTTTTCATGAGCTGGTAGACTCATGGTCCAGTTATGATTCCTCACCAGAAAAATAAAAGTGCACTCAGTTTAACAAAAAACACTATAGACAGTTGACTTTGAAGGTTGAAATTTGCACTTGTCTGCTCAATGCTGCTTGCTTGTATACCTGGGATGCCACATAAATACATTTTGCTAATACAATGGATTGCCTGATTTGGTGGCATACCACTTTACCTTGTGAATACTTTAAAGGAATGCGGATAATCAAAGTACCAATTTAAGTTTTGTTCTTGAATATCATTTTAATAATATTTTTCATACAGTTACTGTCAATTTAAGACTGAAGAAAGGTTAAAAAATATGAGAATATTACATAAAATGAGTAATTTAATTAAATATTTAAGAGTTCACAGGATCTAACAATGAAATGTTCTCTTTTATGAAAAAAAAAAAAAAAAAAAAAAAAAAGGCAAAAAAAAAATAGTCCTTTATAGTCTATCTCTTAATGAATAAATTTTTTATAGTTCTTAGTTTCTCTTTATGGACTGCTAGAATATGGTAATTCTCTGTAATTTTCAGTGATAGTAGTTAAAATAAAAAATTAATTAATGTAATGGAAGTTTTGAAGACATTTTAAATTAAGAACTGAATTGACATTGTATCTTTGTCGCTGAATGAACTGAAATCATCAACGTTAAATGCATGTTAGAAGAAGATATGGCCCTCTTCATTTAAAATAGAAAACATGCATGAATTGTCAGAAAATGAAATTGGTGGCATATTAGAACTTGCTAAATCAATCAGAGGCGAAGGTTTTGTGAACATGGCTGTTGAGGATGTTCAAGGTTTTAGCGCAAGAGAAAATCATTTGAAATAATGGGCCCGAACTGTAATCATTGCTTCTGAGGACACTCACTGATAACTTTGTGAGTAAATTTAACATTAAAAAAATTAAAGAAGGCCTACGGCTTAGCTGAAAATCTCTTATTTTCTTGAGTGCAGATCCTTCCGCTGAAATAAGCCAAAATTCAAAGAGGCTGCAAAACTATTTGCTCTTATCAGAATTAAAACCTGATAAAACTATAAGCAAGTAAAGGCATTTTTAAAGAGGGAAGAAAATCGCGCTAAATGAAAAAAACATTCTAAAAGCCAGCATACCAAAAAAAAAAAAAAAAAAAAAAAAAAGAAGTTCTCTGTTGATATTGAGTAATGACAATGAAGAAATTTATTAAATAAAGTTGTGTTAATTAAAATATGTAATATTTTTGTTTTGTGTTGTTCATATATATATATTTTTAATACAAATTAAATTGCTTATGTATAATTTAAAAAATATTTGTTTTTAATGATGATGATGTCGTGTCTATGACAAAGTGCAATTATATAGCTTCGAAGCTGTCAAAGACAGCTTTTGCAACCTCGGCAGCTCTATCATATAAAGTAAGTGCACTGGGTCTTCAATGCCGATGTTAAACAGTCTTGCCTGGATTGCTGGGCAGCTGAAGATGTGATGGCGAGACAGTGGGATGCCATCTTGGCAATGAGGACAAATGTTGATGTAACTACGCTGTCCGTCTGCAGAAATCCTCATCCCTTTTAAGTGATTTGTCCTAAGTCTGGTTATGATAGTCAATATGGCTCTGTCACAGTTCAATTCTGGGATGGAGTTTCCTTTAAATGGCCGATTAGTCTTTGGCTGGCAACTGCATTGGCATCAACGAGGGTTAGGCGGTTGGATGGCTGAGGAGAATCACGGGATGCCTTTGCAAGCTCATCGGCCTTCTCATTACCAAAAATATTTACATGAGCTCGTATCCATGACTAGCAGATATTGCACAATTCATAGAGAAAGAAGCTGCCAGAGCCTCGAAAAGGTTGGACTTCTGCCTGTTCGTCCGTGGGAGGTATTTTATTTCCCTCCTACCACCCAAGGATAAACCTATGGAGGCATTCCCCGATCCGCCACCTGGGGACACATTCTCTAGGGGTTACAGGCTTTCCTGAGGGCTTTTTTTTAATAAGTTTTCGGAATGTAACTCCCCTTTTTATACTGGGGTCTCGTACAACATGGCATGTTTTAGGAACCTGTCTACCATGTTATACGAGGGTTACCTGTATTGTGAATTTTGCATTACCTGTAACTTGATGCAATGCAGTAACTAAGGTCAACTGTGATGAACTGAATTTAAAGTATTTTGTGACTTAATTCTTTCTAAGTTTAGCCATAGTTGGATGTAGATTTTTATCTTATGAGATAAAGCATATGCATATTTAACCATGCAGTTTAGCATGGTTTCTTGGTTTAGCCTTTATGTAATATTGTATGAACCAATTTCCCTTAAAACATCTCTTTCTGGAAAGGATTTCCGCTAAGGTAGGCAGCTTTCATGGTTTTGCTGTAATGAATTAGACAGTCATAATACTTAATAAGTACAGTACAAAGTCTTTAATCCGGACGTCCATAATCCAGAATGATCTATAGTCCGGATATCAAAGCTACAAACTTTCTGTGCATGCGTAGTGTTTAAGCATGCACACATGAGTTTACACATGCGCATAATACATTTACGCATGCATGTTTAATGTATAACGAACGGTATAAGTTAGGCTAAAATTATCTAATTATCTATTTCAGTTAATGTTGCAGATTGCGTTGCTCCTTAATCTTCTAGTTGGATCCGGCTTATTATTTTTTGCAGACTGCTAGAGCAATTTTATAAAAAGTAAGCTTGAACTTTTGATTATGTCAAAAAGAGTTTCCGATTCTGGAGCTGCCAAAGAATCTACAAAGTGAGAGCATGTTTCGATGTCCATCAAGCAAAAAGTGGAATTGCTGCAAAAAATGGATAAATGCATGAAGAAAGTGACGAAGAGGTTAGTGAAAATGAAAAAATTTCGAATGACAAGTTAGTCGGTATTCTTGGCACAGCAATTACAGGACTTGAACAGCGAAGCTTTGTGACTGAACAAGAAATTATGCCTGTTTATAGAATTAAAGAGAAAGTATAAACAACTTACATTGAAAGAAATGTTTAATAAAGTCAACAAATAAATATTAAGCTTTTTTTGTAAATTTTGATACCCTTTAGATCATAATTGCTCTTTATTTCATAATTATGGTTTCATATTTTTAATTTTATAATTTCTGCATGCCATCTTAACAGATTTAAATTGATGATCTATAATCCGGAATTGCCGAAGTCCCGACGCGTCCGGATTAAAGACTTTGTACTGTATATATAATTTCATTTATTAACATCTATTCTTGCCAAAAATGTTTTCTGATAAACTGCATTTCATGTCTTGAAATAAAGTTAAATGAGTGCTGTCTTATGTTAAATGTTTTTCTTTCATATCATATACAATACTAACACAAAAATTAAAAATATGAAACAATTTGATATTTGTTTTATTTAGCTTTTTATTTTATGCCTTCTGAAATGCAGTATAGTTGTTCTTGTAGTAAAAAATACATATTTTTTTTTTTTTTTTTTTTTTTTTTTTTAAACCTTACTAAAAGTATCAATAGGATTGTTTACTGTTCATTTTGAAAGTAATATAAGTATCTTTACATCTTACAGTTTCAAAACACAGTTGCTTGCTACTTTTTCATATTTAACAGGTAGTTAATTCAGTGGCTTGTCTCATTTATCTGCACGTGTGTATACATTACAGATTACATACAGATTAGTATATACAGATTAGTTAAATACATTGACTTCTAAAGACTTTGATAATACATAGGTTTATTTAAACTTTTGTTGACTGTTTTAATTTCCATAGTATATACAGATTAGTTAAATACATTGACTTCTAAAGACTTTGATAATACATAGGTTTATTTAAACTTTTGTTGACTGTTTTAATTTCCAATGTGATTTTTTATTGAAATTTTTTTAAATATCTAGGTTAGCAAGATTTGAAAAAACAAATGAGATGCTGGTGAATTGTAATGCCTTATTAAGCTCTCGTTATGTTGGTGCAAGTAAAGATCTGAAAAAACACATCGCTCTTTTAGTGGATTTAAAGAAAGATCTTGACTCTGTATTTCGAAGAATCAGGTATATATAAGTATACTTTGTATTTTATCTGCACTGTTTTGCAAGATCAAGAACACTTATCAGCATGCTTTACATTTTGTATACGTTCGTAATATTTTTTGTTTTAGTTGTGTAGCAGTCTTCATGTACAGTACCTGTAAAATCACATTACAGGTGTGTTATTTTGTATAGTTTACGTTACTTTTAGAATTGTAAAAGTATTCAGCTGTTTAAATTTTTGTTTAAAATACAGTAAATGTCTTGTTTAAAATATAGTAAATTTTTATTTCAAAATAAGTGTATTAAATGATGATATTTGACTTTCAAACTAATGATCTTGCTGCTGTTTTTAAAGTGTTGCAAGGCAGTTGTACATTTTGGAAAATCATCAATAAAATCATGATTCAATAAAAGATAATAGTTAGCTAATAGTAGACATGTATTTGAGCTATTGCTTTTGATTTGAATATATAATTGAAGGTGAATGAAGCTCATTATCCACTCTCTGCGTGAAACAATTGGAGCTTTTCTCTCCAAAATGCTATGATAATCTCAAAAGCTACAACTATATGATTGCATTAAAATTTGCTTAAATCATAAAAATTTGCCATTCTGAGAGCAGTAATAACGTTTAGACATCTGTCACCGTAAAGTTGCTTAGATGGACACAAAACCAGTGTATAGGTAGTATTACTGTGTATTCCGCATAAGATTATCTGTGCCTTTCTTATATTTAATATAAGGGTAATCTTTTTGAAGTTTCATCTCTGTTTTAGTTCTTGACTGCAGCTACCATCCATAATGTTGTCATCTGTTATACCAGATTAGATTAAAAAAAAAAAAAAAAACTAATCTTTTGTGTAATTTATAATCATAATTTTTTAACAATGTTATTTTAATGTACATGTGTTATGTAAAATACTTTAAAATTTCCCTTTAAATATTTTCATTTCCACTTAATAGAATTAGTGTAGATCATAAAATTGCCTTATTAAATAAGATTAATAATACTGTAATTTAAACATATGAATATTTACAAAAAATAGGGAGGGGTTTATACAAATATTAAATTTAAGTAAAAATTCGTAGCACTAGTTTACATAATTATTAATGTCCAACTTTGGAAATACTTTTTTGAAATACTATGACCACTACAAATTTTCTCATAGCATGGCAAAAATTCACTTGAGAAAATACAACATATGTTTTCTATAATTTTCTTAAATATTTGATTTTTCATTTTGTAATTTAACAACCTCAATATAATGCTTCTTGGAAAACATAAATTTTAATTGGCATAATCCCCCAATGAGTGTCGTTGCCTAATGTCATCTACTGAACAGAGATTTAGTTCACAGTTTACTTTTTTTAATGTATCTCAATATACTGAGATACTTGTTTTAATTAAAGCATGTATTAAATCTTCATAACGAAAAAAATTGGGAAAAGTTGATTTAACAAAAATTTGGCAAGATTTTGAGCTGTATGATTCACTGTTACTTTTCTCCACCAGTTTTTTATGGCAGAATTTTACTGTAGTGTTCATTAATATAAATGAATAATGGAAACTGTGCTATTTGCTATAGAATTATGGCAGAATTTTACTTAGTGTCCATTAACTTAAATAAATAATGGAAACTGTTATAGTTGCTATAGAATTGGGGAAATTTGATAGTGCCATTTTAATTCTCATTTTTGAATTGGAATACCTTATTACAGTGCTTGGCAATTGTTAAAATGGTTAATCTTTTTTTTTTTTTTTTTTTTTTTTTTTTTGTGTGTGTGTGTGTGTAACTAATGAGTGTTGGCAAGTTTCTTGTATGGTGTGAAAAAAAGACTGGTAAAAATGGATTTCTTCTAGTAAAATCAAAGAAACTATTTTTTTTTTTTAAATTTTATATCTTTATTTGTAGGCAAGTTCTTGTATGGTAGAGAAAATCAACAGGAAGAAATTAATTTTTTAGTAAAAGGTCGACTATCTAGCATTCAACTAATCAAAAAGCTCAACTGGAATATTTTAGAATGTTATTGGGGAAAAATTTCCTCCCTAATGCAGTAAAAGAGAGATTTATAATGCTGTTATAGAACTCATTATATTATCAGCATGCATACATTGTCACCAAAGTGTGATTTAGTGCTTATAATTGATACACTTGTCATAATGGCATCATAACTTTAGTTATATGTAAAGTCGATTAATTCTTAAAAAAATTATTTTGGTACTTACGTATTAACACAACCAGGCCAAAATTCGCATAAATCGCCAAATTTGGCGACCCTACTTATGGCAACCTTATGTTAATTTATTAAAGCGAGGTGTGCGTAGTTCATAGATTCGTTCGTTGCCTACATTGTGCCATTCGTAGATGTTTTTTTAAGTTAAAACATGTCGCTGTGTACATGGGTTCTTGTCTATATTTCAAACTTTAACCCTAAAATGTCTCCAAAAACGCGGTTTTCGCACATGCAAAACCTACGTTTTGAACACATGATTTAAGCTAAAAATCCAAAACAAAACAAAAAATTTAGATAAGCAAAAACGTAAGATTTCTAATCAAAAATTTTGACAAGAATCCATGTACACAGTGATATGTTTTAACTTAAAAAAACATCGAATTGAACATCTACCGAATTGGCACAATGCTAGGCAACGAAACGAATCTACGAACCTACGAACACCTCGCTTTAATAAATTAACATAAGAATGCCGTAAGTAGGGTAAACAAAATAATATAAAAAACTGTATTAAAATTATCTGTAATTAATAAATGTACATTTTCTTTCTATTCATACTTTTTTACTCAAACTTACAAATCACGCCAACCTGGTTGCGATAATACGTAAGTACCATTATTTTTGTAAAAATGGATATAGGTTCTGTTTTTTCCTCGCATTTTGAAAAAATGATTAATATGTGGTTTAATAGAGATCATAAAACAGTATCTTCTATGGAACAGCATATAGTGAAGTATTTTCAAAGTTACAGAGTATTGTTACAGAGAGTTACAGTGTATTAATCAAACAAATGCACAATATGAAACTTTATTTGAAAATGGATAAACAGTGGTGATGCAACATAAAAAATTATGATAAGTGATTTAAATTTTTTTGTGTTATATCCATAATTTGTATGTGTTTATTATCTAAATAACTGAAGAACAATATGCTGTGCCTGAATGATTGGTGCAAGTTTGAGTACATTTCTGCCAAACTCCAAATTTTGTATCATTTCACCATTGATTAAGAGCTTTTACTTTCCTGTATAAGGCTTACAAAAAACGGTACTTATGTATTAATGCCATCACGCGTACATATTAACGCCACCGCAGCATTGCTGATGCAGCGCAGCATAGCACAATTTATTCTGACAGTTGGAAAGGTTTCTAAACAAATAGGATAGAAAAAAGAAGGATTCCTACATGCTAAAGTTAATCATAAATACAATTTTATTGATCCTGATACAAGAGTTCATACACAAACAGTTGAGAGAATGTGACGCAGTCCTAAATGGAGGACCAAGAGACATAGGCGAACAGCGAGACATTATTTAGAATCTTATTTATCAGAGCTCATATGGCGACAGCATCAAGTCAAAGAAAATAGACTGTTTTGAATCTATGTTAAACTCTATATCAGCCCATTTTTCATTGAAATCCAATTGACTACTTTGATTTTAAATATAGTGTTTTGATTTTAAATAAAGTGTTTTAATTTATGATTTTTCGCAAAAAATGTGTAGATTGGCGGCACTTAAAAACCGCCAAATCTGCAGCTGTGGTGGCGATAATACATAAGTACCCAAAAAACGTTAGCTTTTACGTTTGAAATTCATTCCCCTACCTCTAAATCAATGTAGGCTTTTGATGTTCAAGTTAATAACAAATAAGTTGACTGTGTATATGATTTTAGTTTGAAATTTTTATTTGTTGTTGTTTATATATAAATTCTACTTATTTGGCTTTTGTAACATGAATTCTATTTTCTTTATACCCTTATCTATGTGGAATTTCCGCATATTCAGCATTTGGCATTTTCCGAGCTTTGCAAATAGTTGAACTTTTACTGTATTTATATTTTATTCATATGTAGCACTAGTACTTACTGATCAATTTGAATATTTTCATTATATATTTGTTTAAGCTCATTTATATGCTTGCAGTAATTTTTGGTAATATGTGTGTGTATTTATGTATGTATTTTTCACATTTGTTAGTATGGATGAATTTTGAAATTCAATTTTGGTTTGTAAAATTAATAAAGGTACAAAATTAACATATTTATTCAGAAAGAACAGGGAAAGAATTAGTTAATTATTACAAAATTGCTTTAATGCAGTGCAACATGCTGTAACAAAACAGAATCTTTTTACTGTTGCATGCAGTAATCTGTTTTGTAATTTTAAATATATAAATCTAAAAGAAGAGGATATTTACTCTAATCTTAACAGATATTTAAAGACAGCTTAAAAATACCTCAACTGTATTACATTTTTCATTCGAAATTTCAGAAATTGTGTGCACTTTGCCATGCAACAGAATCTAACACGTTGCAAAATGTATCACAAAAGCAAGGTTTCTGTAAATAGTGCGTGCTCTGTTTTAAAAAATATCGCAAAAAGTAATGGATCATTATTTTTAGTTATTATTCAGTTACTTGCTGCTTCTCTCCTTAAAGCTTCAGTAAATGAATAAGAATTCTATCTCACTCTTCACTGGAATATTTGGAGAAAAATTACTAAATTACCTTGCATTGTATTTTAGAAATAATAATAAAAAAATCAAATAAGTTGAGCAGTCATTAGCAAATGTATACCTTTTAGTAGCTCAATTTATGTATCATTGTTTGTTACTTCCAGTTTTTTCTACTGCTCTAGAAGAAATTCAACGTTGTAATTTATGATAAGATGTCTTGAAATGCATTATTAAGCAAAAAAATACAGATATTGCCATATGGTAAAACTAGATAAGCAAGAGAAAAAAAAAAAAAAAAAAAGATGTCCCTTACAGCAATTTTCAACAGTTACAATAAATGTTCATTCTGCTTGAAATTAGCTATGAGTGTGTCAGTATGAAGTATGAAGTGTTACCTCCTGGGACACTCTAACATCTCTTGTGCACGCTGTCCATCTCTTGTGCTTGTGCATGAATTGTTAGGAGAAAGTAGGAAATTTTGTCCCATTCGTTCTTTAGGGTGATTTTGAGTTTCGGGTTCAAGGAGACTGTCTTTGAGTATTATGTCTGCTTAGTGTATTTCAGGCATGCTGTTTGGGATTTAGGTTAGGGGAATATGCAAGCCATGTCATGCACTCAGTATCTTCCCCCAACTAGTGCGTTGACATTTCAGGTGTCCTGTGCAAGTAGGCATTGTCATTTATGAACAGAAAGTCTGGAGCAACTGCACAATGGAAAAAATGAAGTTATAACCCAGAAGAATTTTGATATGATACTGTTGTGATGTCACTGTGCTGCTGTCAAAGATTTGAAGAACGGTTCTGCCTTTGTGCATGATATCTGCCAATACAATTAATCCGTGGCCACAGCAATAAATTTCCTAGATGTTCTGGTGATGGTGACTAGTTCCCTGCTCATTCCACACTATCTGATATTCAGAATCACTGCTGATGGTGAAATGGGATTTGTAGATTCAGTAGGATATTTTGATCGCAGAAAATGTGAAAAATGAGCAGTGCCCTCGAACCTGGACTTTTCGAATGCACCCCGAGTGTGCTAACCATTATTATTCATTCAGCATTATTATTTATTCAGCACGAAGGCATGCAGAAGGGAGGGATAAAATACCTTATATACTCTTCCTATTAAAGGGGAACTGATGATTAGGGGACCCAGTCATCAAATCTTGGCAGAAAAGAAACATCATCCACCATCTTTTTTAGTTCGGGCTCCATTGTAGAGACATTTAGGTATTTTTGAAGTTGGATGACGTGAAAAATGTGTAATGCTCTCCAAGGACTTAAACCCGGACCTTTTTATGCACCGAGTGTGCTACCGTTACACCACAAAGGCATGCAGAAAGGAGGAGAAGATACCTTATAAATTCTTTTAGAAAAAACAACTCTAAATTTCTGTTACTGAGTGCAGTGAATATGCTCCTTACACCAACATAAGCTTTCCCAACAGTGGTGTGCTTGTAGTGGAATGCATGTAACAGATTCCATACATATAAGCCAACATAATTTAATCACTGAGAAATGATTCTTGCAGGTACAGAAGTGCTGGTGGTTTTGGCAAGGTCTGCGGTTATCTTCCCAGGAGTAGCATTTCTGTTCCTTTCCAATACTAGAGCAAAATATCTATACTTCTTAGGTGTGGTGGTTCCTTGTGCGGCCTCCAACATGCTTTCACACAGCCTGTCAAACTTTGGCAGATTTCTTTAATTACAAGGTAATAACACTCTTCAATGCAACTGTTGCTGTGGTAACTTGAGTAATACTATTCCTTGCCTTGAGATATCAAATTGCTCAGCCACAATGATACAAATTGAACAAATCCAATTATGTCTTATAGATATTTTGCACTTAATACATGCAGTCAGAAATGAGAATTTTGCAGTAATATTTTTAGAAACTAACATAATTTTTCTCTCAAATATTATTGCTTGTAATCACGGATAAGGAAACAGCACAAATACACACTGCTTTTTTGTTCAAAAAAAAAAAAAAAAAAAAAAAGTCTTGCCCTCAGTGCTCCTTGTACTTTTTTTCTGTGATCATTAGGAATAAAAGTTTGCATAAATCATTTGTTCCTTATCAATTGTCAAACAGTATATTTTAATGTTTTCAAGTAATTGCTTCTTAAAATTCCAAATTTTGTGATATGTGATAGGTATGATTAAGAAACAGCTAAAGCCATAACTCTATGTCATCTAAAAAACTGTATGTTGAAACATTTATTTTTATTTGTTTAAGTGAACAATTTTTTTAGTAATGAGAGATTACACGAATGGAAAAGTTCTTAATAAAGATATTCTTATCACATAACAGAAATTTCTTCAATAAATGTTATATTTCAGAGATAATTCCTTGTGTGTTGCTGAATATATTAATTTTCATGGTTAAGCCTAGGAGAAGGTTGCGGAAGTTATTTTGATGTATTACATATTTAACATTTTTGTTCACCTATTTCAATAATATTTGCTAGAAAGCACTGAACTTGTTGAAATTCATGTGTCATTTTTATTTTTCTGTCAATGGAAATTTCAGTATTTGTCTGAACAGTATCCCATACTTAAAAAGTTTGATTTACAATTGGCCAGATTTTAGCAACTCTAATTTGTTTCCAATAATGCACAATTATAGAGCATCTTTAAAGCAATGCAATTAAAAAAGCTTGAGAATAAGGCAAAAAAAAGGGGCTCAAGTTTCTAATTCTGTATTATTTATGTGTGTGTGCTTGTGTGAGGCTGTTACACTTAACAATAGTGTGATGTGTCACCATACTGCGGAAGGGGGGGATGGTGCAAGTGTTCAGACCCTAAATGTAATTCTTTCATGCTGTGCTATTTTATTTTACTTCTGCAAGTAAATTTATTTTTAAAAATAATGTTTTTAAAGGAGTTAGGAGAAAAATGTGACACAAAAATTTAAAAATGTAAATTTGCTTGCATCTGGTCTAATTATTGTGTTTTTTTATATAATATATTTACAATTAATTTGAGAATATATATGATGAAAAATTTTTAAATGTAAAATATTTTGGTAATGTATTGTTTGAAAAGTGATGATATATTGTGATTTATTATTGCTTTAAAATTTCAAGGGAAAAGGACACTTCTTTAATGTTCATAAACATCTACCTGTTCCTGATTCAAACCATATATCTTTCAGCATTTAACTTAATTTTTTCATACTTTTCATTTGCTCAGTTATCAAAAACATGTATCATATGATTGAGATAAAAGGAGGACAAGATAGAAGTTTTCTTTCTTCTTTTCTTTTATTCTTTCATTCTTTTTTTTTTTTTTTTTTTTTTTAATGTGTGTGTGATGTGTGTTTTATGATATCCCTGCAAAAATATTTTATGAATAGATTTTCTCACATAATAAGGTCAGATAAAATTGATATAAAAGAAAGAAAGAAATGTTGTGTGCAGTGGATTTTAATACTAAACTTTTCATTTGAAATCCTTTCAGATGTGCTAGAAAATCAAAACTGTAGCTTTGTTTTCCTTTCTTCTATCACAGAAGTGTGAACAAGAGTTCTGCACATGCAGCACATTCCTTTTAAATATACAGAACTAGAGTTTTGCACATGCAGTGCTGTCTTTTTACTTATACATAGTTCAGTCAAAATCAGTGTTTACCAAAGTTAATCTTCAGAGAATATATGCATTGATTTTCTCTTAATATATTTTAAGACTCAATTACTCTGTTTGAAATCTGTGCTGTCCCTGAAAGTTTGAATTAGTGTCAGACGATAAAATTATGCAGTGAATTTTCCTTTAAAGTATTTTAAGGTTCAGTATCTTTCATTCAGTCATTTTGCAGTTTATTTATTTTTTTATTAAATTATTGTATGTGACCTACTGTGAAATTTTAAGAAATTAATATATCAAATGCAGATTTGATAAGAAGATAAATTGTATGTAATTTTTTTATTTCTTTACAGATTTCTTAAAATGAAATTGTCTCAGCAGTATCCGGAATCATTTTCTGGTAAGTCAGCTGTTGATGTAATATAACTGTTAAATCATTTTAATTGATCATTGGAGGAAGTGGAAATTACTGAAATTTTGCAGGCCATCAGTGTAATATTAAGTGGGTGCCAAATGTGATGATAAATGGGTGGTTTCCGCAATAACCCAGAAATACTGGATATGTGCAGGATGAAATGTGTGATCTGAAAAAAAATTATGGAATTAAAGAACTTACCCCCTCACTTAAAATAATGTGAATTACGAAAAATTTATTATATCTTGACATCATGAAATTTTAAATTAATACTAGTATAAATCGAGAAAACATAGCCAGACAGAAGACAATAGACGGCAACAGTAAGAATCAGTCCTACCATTTTGAGTCCTAGCCTTTCGTGCACAAAATGCATAAAATTCCAATCTAAAAAATCTCAGTTCATCTTCGTTACACAAAGTTACATGATAACAAAATTCAATTTTTACAATGAAGGACTTTGACTTGAATTATTATTCCAGTATATTTTTGTGGAAACACAAGGCCAATTCTAGCATCAGATGCAACACGTGTCCTGGAATTCCTTTCGAGAACGTCTCAAGTCATAAAACATCGTTCATTTACCGCAGAAGTCAGCATCTAGATTAATTTTAGTTGAATCTTCATATCACTTACTATTATTTTTTTTGACAAAATGCCTCTTGAAACTATAGGGAGATGGTCGTCAGAAAGGCACGCAAAAGAACAAATTGCAGACATGCATCATTGGCGGTGAGGACGGACAGCAGCACAAGAAACCGAAAACCGGTTGTAGTGGTCAATCTCGCTCTGTTATTGAGCGGTCGCAGTGAACAGACTTGATGTTGAATAAATGTAGAGGCTTGCCTGCACAATGAGTATCCGAGTGGTAAAGTTGCTGAACATTGGCAACTCAACTTCGATTCTGGTGAATGAACTGCTGCATGGGCATTTTCATGATTTTCCCCATATGTAACATAGATATGAACCAGTTTCCCTTATAAATTCTGTAGAAATTATTTCAGTTTGGTTCCGTTATAAATTATTTCAGGTCGGTTTATCTGAAATTTCAAAGTTCTTGTTGATGTATGTTTTTATTTGTGGGTTTGGGTATGCCTCTAAAATTTGGACCCTTTGCTCTCTCTGTTTCACTTTTTTTTTTTTTTTTTAAACTTTCTTTGCAGTCCTTATACAATTGATATACTCAAACAGGGTATTCCCTAATCCAATATTTGTGAAAATATTTATAAACAGCATTTATGAAGATTTATTTATTGAAGTAGTGTAAGCTTTTTTAAAGCTACGCTATAAAAGCTACATAAGCTAAGCTACATAGCTACATAGCTACATAAAAGTAGCTTTTGTAAAGCTAGTTAAAGCTACATGATGACTTACTGGAAAACTGAAAATATTTTCTTTTGTTTAAAAAAACCTCTAAAAGTAAAAGTATTTTTAAATATTTGTTTTAAAATTTTAATAAAAAGAGAGCATAAAAATGTATGGTAATTTTACAGGGTGTTTAGAGTGGCAAGGAAAAAGGGGAGAAAAATACAGAAGCAATCAGGCATTCTAGAATTTTTCATTTCATCTAAAGCGGCCAACAAATCTCACCTTAAGACAGTACAGCTAATGTAGCAATTAAACTTAATGACATGATAGAGAAAATGACAATCAGATATTAATAACTGATTTTTGTTCTCTTTCCCTCACATCGTAAGGTACTGTTCTGTTATCACGACTGGATTAAAAAATGGATGTATATGTTCATGTTTGCATATATATATTACTGTAAAAGCCCAAAGTGTGGTAAATCCTAGATTTTACTGGTAAAACTTAGCTTTTACCAAAGTGGCTTGGTAAAAATCCAAAGTATGCTTTAATATAATCCCATTTTGGACTTTTACTAAGCCTTTGTGGTAAAACTTAGGAGTTACCAACTTTTTCCAGTAAAAGCCCGAAACGAGGGATTACTTGTGGTAGGGTTTTCCATTCACAGTTGCAGTGTGTCCCAGAAAAAGTTAAACCATGCTTTACTATCATGCAACTTATTAATTAGGAATAAAAATTGTAAAAGTGATCAAAATAAGGTATGATTTAAGATTATATCGATGAAATTGTCTTACAATTATTTTTCAAAGAGTCACAAGAAATAAAAATAAAAAATACAACATTTATGCCATTTCACAAATAAGATCCCATGTAAAAAAGCTGAATTAATGCACAATTCTCTCGATAACTACTGAAGAAATTTCAATAATTTTGGCAATAGTTAAAAAATTAAATTGATATCAGAAAAAAATTAATAAAAGTTATGAAATTTTTTAAAAAATGAGAAAAATGTAGTATGTTGTTTTTAAATACATCTAATACTTCTTACTACTTGTTACAAGAAGTTTGACTGTTATGCCATTTTGAATTATAAAGTAGATCAGCTGATTTGCATAAACAGATTTTCATAGTACACTTCTTTGAACAGTTGCATTTTCTGAGTCCCTTTTTTTTTTTTGTCTCCCAGTTAAAGCAAGTTTTTTACTACTTCATGTAGACTTATTTCTCCTGTACTACCAGCTTCTTTGATGTTGAAAAAAATTTTCTTTGCAAAAGGTAAGCTGGTTTTTTTGTGTATAATGATTTTAATTTACCAAACTTGGTACCAAGAACATAAAACTCATCATCTTTACTGACTGTAATAAGGGCTATTACTGATTTTGAATCCATTTTCGATCTGTCGATATCTTTGCCTGTTTCTCAAGTCCTTCCTTAGCTGTGTTTCGAAACATTTTTACATTTTGAATTTTGTTGATAATTGCTGCCATTGTCTCAGAGCATATATCTGTTCCCCCCCCCCCCCCAATTTGAACTTTAGTATCTACTTCCATCGTTATGCATGATTCTTTTTCACATGTATTATTATTATTATTATTATTATTATTATTGTTCAATTTCAAATCAACTGTTCATTTGAGATTAGTGCCTTCTTTTTTTTTGTATTAACCTTGCATTTATTATGAATATTTATAATTTTTTCGAAGTCCTCTTCAGTGGCTATGTAACTAATCAATTACGTGGAAAAAATGAGTTAGCAAGTCCCAGCTTCATAGGACAGCCAAACATAGCTTTGTGAGGTGAATATTTATTTGGTTCTCTCATGAATTTGCTTTGTTTTTTATTGCTTGAATAAATTTTAATACTTCCGACTACTTTTATGTCTTATTTGTTTCCATCCATGTTGCAAACATGTTCTCAAGTCTTGGTTCACCCTTTCAACTGAACCTAGGGATTGACTGTGTCTCGGCTTGCCATGAACTATTTTTTATCACTCCACATTTCACATAAACTGTTTATGATTTGGTTGCAAAATTCCCTCCCATTGCTGTAATAGAGAATGTTCAGGGCTCCAAAAGTTGTGAAAATATCCAGAATGTGTTATGTTACTTCAGGTCTTTTACTATGCAGACGTTGGAGTAAGACACATTTTGTAAGATGATCTTTGTACACTAAAATGAATTTCATATCACAATCAAGATTGGACTGCATATCTATTAGGTTGACTTGGCATCGAGAATTTATTTCACTACGCACAACTGATTTCATGACAATCCCCTTTTCCACAGTTTTTTATTTTTTCTAACATGGCTCACATAGTTTCAGATACATGAAAATAGATTCTACTATTACATTCTTGTACTTGCGATTCAATTCCTTAATAATATGGGTTCTTCCACCATGGCCAACTGCGATATGAGCCTTATATATGACGATGAAGATTTCATCATTTATAACATAATACAGGATTGCTGCTTTTTCTGCAGATGTGGTGCTGTAAGTTTGTTTTTTCTTCACAAATTTTACTTCCTTCACTTATTAAAAAAGTGATTTCTCATTTGTTAAATAAAAGCTTTTATTGTGCCTCTTTCACTTTATTTATTAAATAAGTGTATTTCTCATTTGTTAAATAAAAATAATAAATTTGTTAAATCATGCTTATTTTGTGCAGATTCAGACAAAATGTCGTAAAACGTTTTCCACATAACATCTTTCATTTCCTTTCAGCAAAATAAAAAATGCAAAACATGTTGAAATCGAAGCAAGCTGCTTCTATTTAGATCATAGCCACTTGTTTGAATTCGCTCAAAGCTAGACTGCAAATGGCGCAAATAAGAAAGAGCAGGAACAGAAAAGTGTTGCAACGGAATCTGTGTGCTCATGTTTAACAGAGTCAATATAAATCCTTCGTTTCTGGCTTATACCAGAAGGTGTTGGCATTTCCTAGGCTTTACCACAAAGGCTTGATAAAAATCTGAAATAGAATCATTTTAAAGCATATTTCGGACTTTAACCAAGGCATTTTGGTAAAACCTAGGATTTACCAGGATAAACCTAGACTTCGGGTTTTACAATAACATATGTATGTAAGTACAAATGTATGCATGTATATATATATATATATATAGTACAAATGTATGTGTGTCTATACATATACACATATATGCATATACATATACACGTGCATACATTCATACATTTCTGAATCCGGTCCTGATAACAGAACAATACACATCCTAACTGTTATGTCTACTGATAGCTCAGTTTAACATATCATCATTATTGTGATTGTTCTGCCCCTTATTATGTGTAATGCTTTTCCTATTCTGAGAAGTGAAACTTAATCTTAATATAAGCTATTTCTGTTTATGAAGGCTGTGTATTAGTGTTGCTTAATGTTTTGTATAATTTGATAAGAGTTTAAGGTAGTCTCGGAATGCTCAAAATTTGGTACTCTTGTGTTATCGGGACTAGATTCAAGAATGTATGTATGCACGTGTGTATGTGTTTTTGTGTACATACATGCACATGCATCATACGCATTGTACATGTGAACATGAACACGCACATCCATATATATGTGCATACATACATACATTTTTTAACCTGGCCCTTATAATAGAAGAGTACCCAAAACGTTTCCTTGTATAAATTAATGTTAGTTGCTTTTTTGCTGTACA